TGACGACTCCTATAAATCGGGTTATCCGATAAGAATAAAATACAATACCAATATAGCCCTATCGTTGAAAAAATTCGCTTATTTTTGCTCACCTCGAGTTTTGCTTAGTAGAAATGGCTAAAAAGTGCGCAAAATACGTACGGAAATACGGTATTACAGCACCACCTGTATTGGACGACCACCTGTCTAAAAGACCACTTTTTTAAGGAACCGTGGGTGGTCGCCGTAGACAGGTTTTACTGTATATAATAAAAACAAAGAATAAAATAAAAACAAACTTAAACTAAAATAAACTGATAAATATCAACTAATACAATAAAATTAACGTGTAAATTATGAGTTTCCTGCAGATTTTTTTAATAATATACTTCCATGTCAATAGAAGGCCTTCCGCGTCCCTCGCATTAATACCAGTCTCTTCTAATTTGCTCTTATAAATCTCTATTTTCTCAGCTGTCTTTTCTAAAGTTGGAAATCTCACTGGCTTGATAATGTCCGCATCATCCCATTTAACTACCGAACTTTGTGCCTGAGCCATCTGGGACAGTACCGTCGCGTTCGAACTTTTTTTTTGATGTTGTAACGCCGATATAATCTTTCCTAATCACCAGTTGCGGGTTTTCGTATGGTATCCTATACACACCTGCCTTTTGAACGTGAAATTTGAGTGTAAGACTAAAGGAGCATAAGTTAACGTATTAATTAATATTAAAAGTTTAATAACACTTTTCTATAAAATCTCTTTTTTAAGAAAGTAATTTTCTAGAAAAGTTTTAAGNACCATATTAGTTCCTTAGTTCCCTGGCCACGCCATAGTTTCCTGCTCTGTACTGTACAGTACATAACAGAAGAAAAGTAATATTATGTAAATACAAGATTAAGTAGCCGAAGTTTAAACTATTATGTAAATTCATATTGATTATAATAATAATAATGAAAACTGTTTGTTTTCCAGTCTAAAGCTAGGCTTTCCGGTCCGAAAAATGCATAATTTGTAATCAAAATAAATAAGAATAAAGTTGTCTTCCGATTAAAATATGTCCTGTTAAAATCGGTATAAACGTGGCTCCGATTGCACGAGTATATCTTAATTAAAGAAAAGAATTTTTTAAAAGTTTTTTCAAAAATTTTAATTGATCCGGAGATTTAAAAACGTTGCTAAAATGATATTTTAGGAATATGATAATTCTAAATCGCGTTTAAATTTGAATTTAAAAATTCGATTGCCGCAGAACGGAATCTTTTCTTTAAATATCGTTCGAAACGTCGAATTCCGTCATTCTGCTTCTGCTGCAAAAAACGGAAAGATAGGCATGGACGATCGTAGTAGTAAAAAAGAATCTGAAGAAAAGAACGAGTCAATAAAAATGACTGCTTCAGACGAAAAAATGCTTAAAAAATTTAAGGAAGAGAAAAAAAAAATTGTCGACGCTGATAAAAAGATTTCCGACTGCAGAAGAAAAATCGTCGACGCAAAACGAAAAATCGTCGACGCGAGGAAAAACATAAAAAAGATCTTTTTAAAAAATCACATGAAAAAGGTAATTGGAAAATCGGGAATGTCGAAAACATCAAAAGGTAAAAGAAGACGATCAAAATTAGAAAAAATAGAGAAAAGTAAGAAAAGTGACAGGAAGAGAAGACGACCTGGTAGAAGGGCTAATGGTAGCAAAGATTAAGCAGGGGGCGTCGACAAAACGGTAAGCTTGAACGAGAAGCGGTCTTCAATTGCTAGATTTTTGTAATGTAGCAAACAAACGGCTCTTTTCAGAGCCATTTTTTATTGGTGAAAAGTAGTCAAATCGATTCTAATAAACAAGGCTTAATGTCGTAGATTCGGTTTGATTTTAAATTTTGAAGCGTTTCGAACGTCGTTTAGAGTGAAATTTGACTTTTCGATTATTTATTAATTGAATTTTTACTAATTAAAATTGTCTTTTGGATATATTTAAGATGTTTTTTGCGTTTATATAAACATACGAATTATGTTTATTAAAGATTTAATAAGTGTACGTTGTTTAGAGAAGTGAAGGATCGAAAACAGAAGAAATTTCGCACTAAATAGATATTTATGAAATAGCACCTATTGTTTTCTTTAAGGTTTTTATTTGTCGGAATAATATTAACATATTGATAGGCCAGTCTATGAAAAATTACGGGTCACGAGTCCGGAAATCATAAATGCTTAGTGTGTGTAGACATTTAACAAAAGCCGAATTATGTTTCTGCCCTAAGGTCCTTTATGTTTTATCCTGGTAATATCGATATAAGCTTTTGTATTAATGAAAATAATTAGTTCCGAATTCGATACTCCTTCAACGTTACATTAAAACACAGACGTTATTAGTTATATTTTTAATTTACATACTAATATAAAATTTTTAAAATTTAATTAATAGCGCTTTAAAGAAGAAAGCATCAACTTATGAACATTTTATGGTCTGTGTTTTAATACAGTATATTGCTTTTCATGACAGAAAAGCATTAGAATAAAAATAGTTAGAATAATTATCTACACTATTCGAAATAATTTACGTGAAATTATATTACAAAAAGCTATATTATGTCATATCAAAAAGTACTCAGCAAATCATTATACAAATAAATTAACACCTTATTCTTGCCGAGAAATACAATTTAATTCAAACTAACGTTTTCAGCCTGATTCACAGGCCATCATCAGGTTTAGAACAAATTTGAATTAAAGGATTCCATCAATGGAATACAAAATTCAAAATAAAATATGTAACGGTTTAAGATAAAACAAAAAATAAAAATAAAATTAAAATATTAAATAACATAAAACAAAATACAAATACAAAAATGTACATAGAAGTATTAAGAATACAATTTCTAACACATCCAATATAACTACTATTTTGATTGGTTAGAGCTCTTAATAAATTTTTTAACTATAAACTTCCATGCAGAGGAAAGACTTTCTGCATCCCTCGCATTTAAACAGCCCTCTTGTATTTTACTCCTATAAATCTGCAACCTTGCAGATTTATAGGAGTTGACTAGGGCTGATAAAAGTAAACAACTGGTCATCATGAAAAGACATACTTATAACAGAGCACTAATGGATTACATCGAAAAGACAGAGTGTGAAAGGGTCAACAGCAAGATTATTGGAAGTTTGGATAGAAAAGTCAGGAAGCTAGAGGTCTCTAAACTTTCCAAAGCTTTGCCTTTTCTCAAAAAATGCAGGAACCCTAGACCTGGAACACCTAGGTTGTTTGCTTTTGCTAAAGTACATAAAACCGGTAAAGAAATAAGACCGGTTGTAGAGAAATGCAAAGGTCCCACGTTTGTATTAGAAAAGAAATTGCATAAGTATTTATCCTCCCAGCTGGATACGAATAATCTAGTTGCACGTGATCCTATGAAAGCGGTCAAAGATCTGCGAAATATTGCATTAATGGAGGATGAAGTTGCAACTGTTTTCGACTATGAGAACATGTATCCTTCAGTAAAGATAGAATCATGCGAGGAGGCTCTTTTGGATTTCTTATACGGCAATAACTCGGAGTTGCTTAGTTATACCGAGGAAGTAGAGAGTATGGCTAGTTTGGTGTGCCGTGAATGATGTTTCGGTTTTAATGGACGATCTACAAACAGAGAAGAGGGGTCCCTATGGGAAGCCCGCTCTCAGGGATCCTATGCGAATTGGTAGTTAGAAGACTGGGAAGAATAATTTTACATGGTTTTAAGGAAGATGTCATGTATTTTAGCAGATACGTTGATGACATATTTATATTATGGAGAAATAACAGCAGGATTAAGGATTTTTTGGATAAAATCAATGATAACAATGATGGCCTTACTTTAAGGTTGGAGCAGAAGAGTTCCTTGGATCTGCATTTTCTAGACATCGGTATTAAATTCAAAAAAGGCCACCTGTCCACTAGCGTTTTTATTAAACCATCCCACAGCCCATTGTATATTCCATCACATTCCAAGGATCCGTATAAATATAAAATTGAAGCTTTCAGAGCTTTAATAAGAAGGGCATTTTTGTATTGTGAAACGGTACAAGACAGGAGTAAAGAAATAGATAGAATAATAAGCGTGGCCAAGACCCTAGGTTACCGAAAAAACGCAATTCTGGGAATGGTTAAGAAGTTTGAAGCGAACATCAAGAAAGGGTCTTTTAAAAATGCTTCCGCTGGAATCGTAAAATTTACTTATAATGAAAGTATGAATCGTGTCATGAAAGAGATTGCTCGCAGGAAAGGTTCGAAAATGCTTATAAAAAGGGCCCCTAATTTATACAAAATCCTCAGGAACGATAAGGATGATATAATGTCGGAAGAGAAAGCAGGAGTTTATAGAATTCCTTATGAGAATATGCAATTGGGCGTTAAAAAAGACTATATTGGAGTAACCACCAGGAATTTAGGGCTTAGAATCAAGGAGCATAGTTATAACATCAGAAAGGAGTCTAATGCAACAATTTTATCCCAAATGGCGCAAACACCATGATCTGTAGTCAGATGGAATGAAGCAGCCATCATAAAACCTTTATCTTCTCCATCTTTGGCATTGACAGCGGAAAGGTTGCAGATTTATAGGAGTAAAATACAAGAAGGCTGTTTAAATGCGAGGGATGCAGAAAGTCTTCCCTCTGCATGGAAGTTTATAGTTAAAAAATTTATTAAGAGCTCTAACCAATCAAAATAGTAGTTATATTGGATGTGTTAGAAATTGTATTCTTAATACTTCTATGTACATTTTTGTATTTGTATTTTGTTTTATGTTATTTAGTATTTTAATTTTATTTTTATTTTTTGTTTTATCTTAAACCGTTACATATTTTATTTTGAATTTTGTATTCCATTGATGGAATCCTTTAATTCAAATTTGTTCTAAACCTGATGATGGCCTGTGAATCAGGCTGAAAACGTTAGTTTGAATTAAATTGTATTTCTCGGCAAGAATAAGGTGTTAATTTATTTGCTATATTATGTCTTTTAAAATATATTTTTTTAATATCCAAATCTATATAATTGATAGAAATCAATGTTTAATTAATATAATGCATATATTATATTAATATAATTACAAATTGATGTATGTAATTTATAGTATTATCTAATTAAAATGTAATTTATTATGTAAAAAATTAAAATATTTACGAAATAATATAACTTGATATGCAACTCGATATATCACGTTTTATTTAATGTAAGTTGACTTGATATTTTCATAAACACTTCTTAGAATTGAATAAAATATTTTGAACCTTATCTAAAATAAATATGGGCTATTTTTATTAAAATCTGATATTAGAAAGAGCACTTATAAATACTTAAATGTTCAACAATTATAACATCAATAAACAAATAAAAAAATTAATTTACGAGTTGCGTGAGGTAGTGATAACCCTGTATACCAGTCGACCTCCCTATAACACTGTTGATAATTCCGTTTTATATGAATTCCATGTTGTACGAGTCACTTAGATTTTACAAATACGTGAGCCGTTCACAGCCCGGCACACGTATTTGTAAAATCTAAGTGACTCGTACAACATGGAATTCATATAAAACGGAATTATCAACAGTGTTATAGCGGGGTCGACTGTAATTGTGTACAAAATTTTTTAATACGCTAGTAATTAAGAAATTGTTGAAAATTAGGTTTTTGTAGAATTTTTACGTTATTGTAATTATTCATTGCATACATACATTATTGATGAAAATAGACCACAATAAAAATTTCTTTATAATATATTGAAATATTAATACATTTAATTTTTTGATGAAATTACAAATTTATTTAAGTTAACGTATAGAATTTTGATATTTGTTTTATTGTATATAATAGTGTATAAGCAGACATAGCGAGCGTTATATGAAAGGTGGCCATATTTTTGCCTCGAACCCATAAGGTCACTAATACGGTTAATGACCAAGCGGTTAAAGTTGGCAATCTACCGCTCTGGGGACCGGAATCGATTCTGGACGGGTCGAGAAACACCAGAAATTTGTCGAGAGGTCGTCCGTCTATATATATCAGGTCCCGTCTATTACATTTGTCGGCCATTCTGTTGTGGGTCTGGCCGAATCCGTAATAGGCTTACTAAAACGACCCTGTTAGTGCCCACACAGCGGAAAAAGTAAAAAAATATGCTCAGTTTACGGAACTTTCCGGCATAAGATTGGTTTGGTTTGATTTATTTGGTTACGGCGGGCGATTTGTCTATGGAATGCTTCCCAAGAGGACTTTTATGGGAAACTGGCGGCCCCTATTTAGGTTTTATAAATGTGAAGACAACGCCGAAAGCTAAACATGGCTTTCGGCATTTCGAAGTTATCGAAGTGCGTTCTCAAAACTCAATACCATTTTGACTTACAAACATGCAAAAGGCATTAAGAGTGTGGAATTTAGGCTATATCAAGACGAATATAAAATTCGATTTAGCAAGAGATTCGAGTTTAATACAGTTCGATTCATTGAGAGTCAACTGCATGTAAAAGAATTGTCTCCCACATGTTACACTATAACAAAGTCTGTGTGATACGCTGGAAAAATTTTTTATGAATAGTCTGGGTCAAATCTCTTGAAGATTCCATTAACCATCTATCACCGATAAACTTTTAGAAAGTAAAAATGTTTTGAGAGTTTTATCAGCAAAAAGTACTAAAAATACTATAATTTTTGAAGCCCAAATGAAAACAAAGATCTTTCAATAAGCACTGAGTTCGTACTCTTGTAGTCGGAATGGACTTTATTCTTTTCTTTCCTTTTGTGCATAGACGAGAATTTAAATCGAAACAAAATGTAATTATATACAAGTGAAATGATTGTGTTATAGAGGTTTTCAGAACTCTATCATCAAAAATATTGTAATGACCGGCGTTCACTACGATGGTACACTGGACAGAGCAACATAACACGAGAGCGGAGATGCCTCCAAGGAGGACTTTCTATGGAGAAACTGTCTCTAGTTAGGTGTTAGACACGCGAAGAAAATCCAGTAAATTGCATTCAAATAGCCCGTTGATAAGCGCGAATCTTAAACCAACTTTCAATGCTTGTTGGTTTTAATCACTCGGCCACTGATGTCGAGTGATTAAAATAAGTACTCGAATACTTTTATTGCATTACAAAAATAAGTAATTAATAAAAGTATTCGAGAAATTTTGTCAAGAGAAACCTAGAAGAATTTTTATGAGGATAAAAAGAAGAAAAAATTTCTATCGTAAACGTGCACGAAATGAATAACAAAGATGACGCGAGTACCGAAAACAACAAAATATACATAGAGAAGATACTGTACTTGATTGAAATTTGAATAAAACATTACATTTGATGATTAAAATGAACGATACTAATTTCAATACAAGTTGTTCATTTTAAGAGCAGCGGCATAACTAGGCTTGGCAGAATTCTTCAATGCAAAGGTCCAAGAAGTTTCCGCTTTTTGGATGTTCTTAAAAATTTGTATTAAATTTTTTTTGAAATTATGTATATCATAGCATTACCAAATAAGGTTTATTTATGTCGTGTAAAAAATGGCTTTTTATTTCCATTTTCACTCATTTCGTCATATGGACACTAAGAAGTCATTTTCATACATTCGGACTCCCATTGTGGGTCTGGGAAGCAAAAGTCAAAGATAAAAAAATTGCATGACCGATTTGTAAACAGAAAAATAGAACATAATAATAATATTTTGTTTTGTATATTTATATCATAAGAAATGAATTTTTTATTAAATAAAAATCTAGAAAAATTATAAAAATTTTATTATTACTTTAATTAAAAAAATAAGAGTAAATATAATATTTTCTGTTTGCTTTTTTAAAAATTTGAACTCGTTGCCATAAGCAAGAAACAAAATGGCAGTTAGGAGGCGATAAGAAAAACCTCTCTATTCTAATAATGATCATGTTTATTTGATTAGATACATATTTTTAGTATTTTTGAAAGAAACATTTATTAATTAGAAAAAAACATGAGACTTTTAAAACCCAGTTGGGTTTCACACGACGGTACGAGAGGTACATGAGAATTTTAACAGGTCATCCTATATTTTCTGTGGATATCATTCTGATGGCTCAAGATTTGCAACTGGAGGTCAAGCTATATAAACTAAAATTCACTGTAATTTAATATTCTCTTATGTTTTTATTACACTTTTTATTGTGTCAAACAGTTCATTTGACTTTCTTTCATTAGTTTTACATGTAAATATGGCTTTTATGTTGGTTTAGGTGCCGATACAGGGAGAATTGTTATATGGAATATGGCTCCGGTTATGAACAAAGATGATGAGAAAGATGAAAATGTTCCTAAATTGTTGTGTCAAATGGATAATCATCTTGGCAAGTTTAAAAATTGTTTTTTCTTTTTTCTTTTTGTCAATGTGTTAAGTACAGTCGACCCCCCATAACACTGTTGATAATTCCGTTTTATATGAATTTCATGTTGTACGAGTCACTTAGGTTTTACAAATACGTGTGCCGGGCTGTGAACGGCTCACGTATTTGTAAAATCTAAATGACTCGTACAACATGGAATTCATATAAAACGGAATTATCAACAGTGTTATGGGGGGTCCGACTATTATCAGTTTAATTAACAGTTTTTTTTTTTTTAAATTAAACTTTATAGATAAAATTAACATAATACGTACGTTTTCTTATAAAGATTTTCTTTTATTTTTCGTGTAATAAGTGAATGCGTGAATATTAATACATATAATACATAAAAATTTAAATATTCATTAATTATAAATAGAATATAAGTAGGTTTAGAGAAAATTTTGATCACTTAGTTTTAATAGAGATATATAATATGAATTTATTATTTAAACTTTTTCAATGTAAGTTTTTCTTCAAAAAATATCTGCCACAATTTAATAGTAATATTTTTATTATAATTTATAATTATAATCAAATTTTTAATGTTTTAAGTAATTTAGTGCAGGTTCTATTACATTTATGTTTAGTAATATAAATTTTTAATTATATCTTGATTAATGTTTAGACACTTTGTGAAAACTTGAAATTAAATATCATATGTCAATTTCTTGTTACATTTTTTATACCTACAATAAACAGATCTCTTTATTAGAATAGTGTTTATTTTTCTGTTTGGAATTAAATTTTTAATAATATTTATTATTAACAAACAACTCTACGAAAACCCAATACATTATATTACTAAAGCCAAGCACTTAATTTTTAATATTTAAATTCAATACACATATTTTGTACTTTTATTTATATGTTTTGAATAAATATAATTTCTGTAAAAAAATTTTTTTAATACGTATTTAATTGCGGCTCGCGAAAAATTTCAAATTTTGAAAAATGGTCGGACTATCAAGGAGCTTGGCCACCCTGGCCATATATCTTTCAGATCAAGCTTGCCCACCAGTGGCTAAGAGGTTTCATTTCCTAAACACTGAAAGTTCGGTCTTGTGTTTACACCTTGCCAGGACGGGCTGGCCAGGTGGAGTTTTCGGGTTTTCA